CTCTCATCCCTCTCTGTCCCTCTCAGCAGCGGCCTTCCCCATACCAGGCAGAGTCAAATGTCCCTACTCCTATCTTAGAGGAGACAGGCTTGAACATAAATTATCAGTTTTGTAAACATTGCTCGCAGGTGTCTGGGCTCCATAGACGCGCCTTGTCCCCCTTCTCTAGCTGGGGAGAGCTGACTCAATCTTCAGAAATTCATGTAGCTTTCCACGACAGATCAGTGAAGGTGATTGGCCTGAGATAAGGGCCAAGTCCTTATTGGCCCTAGAGAGCCAGACCTCAGGCCTACGTGTTAAATGGTTGGCCAGGGCCAAAATAATGGGTGGAGCCCTGGGGCTGTATTAGATGGTGGGAGGAGTAATCCTTCCCAGCAATAAGTTGGAAAAACTAAATTTCATCAGTGTGTCTTGGGAGTGTATCAGGAACAGGGCCGCAAGCCCGTATCCTCGGGGCTGAGGGCAGCCATCAACATCGTGGCCGTAGTGCGGGTATTTAAGGTAAAGTAGCACGCTGAGTTTGTGTCCTCGGTAAATATCCATTGTGCCTCTAGGGAAATAGAATAGGTGATGTGTTCAAATTGTCTTAATTTACATGTTTCATAAAATAAATTGTATAGCTTGTCCAGTGGTATTCACTTAACTCCCCTTTGATATATTTTGCTACTTTGTCATTTTTAGGTGTTGTATTGGAAGCCCCCATGTTCTCATACTATTAATCGATACTAAAGTTGCCCTTGGATTTAAATTAGTAACGTAAATTACACAAACTAATTTTCCAAAATTTATTACTGTAATTCATATTACCCGGAGTCCCATGGTTACTGATTCCTTGCCTTCCTGGGGGGATCGGTGACAGACACATTCAGGTATGGTTGGTCGGGAAGGTGGTGGCAGTGCTTTAATGGTTTTTATTTTATAATTAGTAATAAGCGAATAACCCTTGTCCTTGGTGTATCTTCCTCATTTAAGATTCCTCTTACATACGTGGCAGTCCAGTGAGGGGTCATACTGGACTGTAACAGTGTTAAGCTGGGGTATTGGGTGAAGAGACAGATGTACAACAGAGAGCGTATATTACGATCACGAGAGATAACAAGATAACAGGATTAATACTGGGGAACATTGGGTTATTTTTATAAAGGCCGCGGTTATTACGACAGGGTAAGCGGTCGTTACATAAGGCCCAAGATATTTTTATAAATATGCCTGATGAAGAGTGTTTTGAATATGATAAAGTCAGGGAACGAATTTTGCGGGCATATGAAATTACTCCTGAAGCTCACCACCAAGCTTATCGCAACCTTAGGCCTACTCACAACCAACCGCTCACTGAATTTGCTAATGATCAAATTAGATTGTTTGATAAATGGATTCGCTCGGGTAAAGCCGAAACATACAAGGCACTTAAGAATATTATGTTAATAGAACAATTTATAGATAGTATGCCAGATATTGTAGCACAGTATATTAGAGGGAGGGTAGAGGTAAATTCTAAAATAGGGGATTTGGCCAAGATGGCAGAAAACTACCAGTTGGCGGGCAAAAGGCCCTATAAAAATAATTATACCCCACAGAGTAGCAAAACTTATACCCACAGCCAGTCCAGACCAGCTCATTCTAACCCTTTACCTAATGCACCTTGTTTCAGACATAACTAACCCTGTTAAATTGTCTAACCCCACGACACCTAAGAGTGAACCGAAGGGTAATTCTGTTAGTAATGTCTCTTCTCCCCGACGTTTCTGTGGTCACTGTAAACGTCCAAACCACGTTATTAGCCGTTGTTGGCAACTGTACCCGGAAAAAGACCCAATGCTCTAGTTGTGACACAGGGCTTGAGGCCTTCGGAAGGGTTAGGGAGTAAGACCTCCAACCCACAGTGGTTGGACCTGCTTACCCCATTCTTATCGAAAGGGAGACTACTTTTGTCTGAGGGTTCTTCCTGGAAGGACGTGGTGATCTTCCGAGACACCGGTGCCATCCAGACTTTAATTTTAGAGAGTGGTTTGCAAGGTGCCAACACTCTCGACACTGGAGAAGTGGTACTGGTCGGGGGTGTCACTAGTGATACTCGAGCAGTACACCTCCATAAGATTACCCTGGAATCTGATTTCCACAAGGGTGTTTGTACAGTCGGAGTCACTTCATACCTACCTTTCCCTAATGTTGATGTAATAGTTGGTAATGATTTAGCAGGGGATAAGGTAGGGAACTCCAGACTGCCTATTATGTTGCCTACCCCTAAGGTTTGCCTGGATCCACCCGCCGCAGAGGATAATGTTGTGTACCCTGTGTGCGCAGTGACCAGGTCTATGGGACTTAAATGTAAGGGCAGCCCTGTGCTTGCCAAGGTGGTAAATCCCGAGGACACGAGGAACTTTCCGAGTGGTGAAAACCAAGTGGACCTCGCGGACACATTCATGGCCCGACTCGATGACGTGGCCGAGGACATTGTGTATTAATACTAATACTCCCATCTCACAGGATGGTTAGACATACATGGAATCAATTTAGAAAATACCAGCCTCAATACAAAAAACAAATCAACTCTGACTAAACAGCTCTTCGCGATTTTCACAAGAGGTAAGCACTGAATCATGGAAACATTATATTATAATTACTCTTACCAGTTTCTACAAGACTCCTCTCAAACAATGTATTTTTTTAACATGTTTAGGTATGCACAGCAATGTGCTGCTTCCCTATTCTGTATGAAGGACCACACAGTGTAGATCAAAAACCAGCTACAAGCTCATCCAACATCCTCACCTCACAGGATGGCCAGTCATACATGGAATTAGGAGAGAACAAAATACTTAATGCTGATCTATTAGCCTCCACTGGCAAAATCTGGGTGCAGCACAAGAATATCTTCCAATATTCCTGAGTGTATGAAGTAATTACAGAGCTCAAAATACCTCATACCATTTTGGTATGAAGTCACTGATAACAGGGCAATCACAGATATAGTGTTGGAGAGTATGTTCTCTCAAGTAGGACTGAAAACAAATGTTTTTTCCACCAAGAGGGTTATAAATCCATGGAACCGCCTACCCGCTGAAGCCGTAAATGCCAAATTCCAGCTAAAATTATCATTAAGACAATTGGCGAGCCCTTTAACAAGCCGCCGGCTTTCTGTCCTCGTCGAGGTCACTAGATAGTTAGTGGCCCTTGGGTAAATTCAGTAAATATATACAATAATTGTCAGCGCATCTTCCGAGCAACAAGGACAGCTACACAGTATCTCTTAGAATTACGTAGGTAAACAACAAATGTAACATATTTGTTTTCTACAATGTCGGTGCTGGCTGTAGAAGTTGAAAAAAAGTTTTACTTCGAAATATACTAATTTTATAAGAAAATTCGACGTAAATAGGAGGCAGTAGAGCTCGATAAGCCAGCGCTTAATCTTCAATATGAAGAATGTTGCTGCTCTCTGATTGGCCAAACGAAACACAGTAGTGACCTCTATCGGCACGCAGGTGAACCAACAAATATCTTCCTAAGTGGACGTACTTGAATTGCACCTAAGCATCTTAGGGCACACTTAGGAACCTTCGTAGCAAACCCACTTACGAAGAAATACATGGAGCTTCCTGAATCTAGGTCCTGGTCAGTGATAAAGTCCTCAACAAAAAAAAAAAAGTGTGGCACAAGAGTTTGGGTCGCCTGCGTACTGGGTTGTGCAGAATACCAGTCAGCTGGGCAGCAGGTAATCAACAACGTTGTTTCTCTGTCAATTGTAGACTAAATCGGAATTGTTTCCTTCAAAACAAGATATTGTCTGGGTCTTGGAGTACTGATGTATTCTCCCTCACAAAACCGCGATGAATTGAGCTGATGGGTGCTCAGAATCGTGAGTTTTTCCGGGAACAAATCCGTGTGTGGCCAGCTAGCAATGGCGCCGGCAGCGAGTCCCTCACTCGTACCTATAATGTCAACCCATGTCTGTTATTTTTAAACAATGCTGTTTGTCGACCAAATTGTATTTTTGCTGTTTTTCTGCCATATTCCCCAATTTTTATTTTTATATTGTCTCAACACATTTTATACTTTAATCTCAATTAGTATTAAGTTTTAGTCTTTAGTGTTTTTCCTGCCCGAAATGCTTTGCGTAATAGTGGCTTTAAGCATTGTATGTACTAGCTCTATCTATGAATTCAGCAATATTTGTATCAGCCCTTGTATGTATTTACTTTACCTGAATAAACATTTGAATTTGAATTAGTTACTTTTCCTCCCCCCACCCCTGCCTGCAATAGTACTTCTTTATTGCATTTGTTTCTTATTGTTTTTGTTATTTATTATTCTTAATTTTTCCCTTTATTATTTATTAGTATGCATTATAATTATTTATTATTCATTATAGTTATCCATTATTATTCATTATTTTTTTTGTTCCTCCTTTTATTATGTTATTTTAAAATTTTACTTTATTTTGTAATGTATTTATTGTTTAATATTTGGTTATTATTACTAATATTATTTATTTTATTCTTATTTTAGTCCCCCTCTTCACCTGCACTCCCCCCATACTGGCTTGCATTTTTCTCCCCAATCAGAAAAGTGTAGCAAAGGCGCCTCACACAGTGTTCTTTATATGGTCCTCAGGTGACATTTTTTTTTTTCCAGAACCGCCTCTAGATCTCTTTCTTTATCAGGGTTCTTTAAATCTTTCTCACATAATTTTGTAGATTTTGTGTGGCCTATTTTCTCCTGTTCCACATTCCATAATATGGCATTTATTCACATTAAATTCCATTTGCCACATGTTGCTCCATTCACTTATAACATCCAGGTCTTCTTGAAGGGTATGGTAGCTATTGAATAGGTATAGAATAGGTGAAATACTTTTGTTCATGGGGAAGTCTTATGAAATGTAATATAAAATGGATTGTTAGGTAAGACATTGCTGCTAAAATCAGTAATGGGATTTTTTGAAGAAAACACTGTACTAAAAGCTTTCAGTTTTAAGTAATAAAAAGGAATGGAAACCATTTATAATAATAATATTTACTTTATTGTGGCATTTAGTACATATTTGGCATTGTGTATTTACAGTAAACAAGTTTATGAAATAACTGGTACATACTGTACTCTTATTTGGCATTACAGACTAGTAAAGATATTTAGCAATGTTTTCTAAAAATAATGCATAACAGCAAAGACACTAAAAATGGTATTCATAACAAAAATATACTTGCTGTGTAAACATTGAATTTTAGATATTTGCAATCCTACTTGGTCAACATTGTTACACATCACATTTATTACCTCAAACCAAGAGTTGAGATATTTTTAAGCTATTGTTTATTAATAATAGTGCTGAATAAAAAAATTGTTGTCCAAAAAGCACATTTACCTTATTTGTAACGTGCAGTCTTTAAATTAAGAAGCTTAAAATTTATACTAAATAAATATGTCCTTTACAACAATTGTACAAGTCATTGACAGCCACAAATCTATGTGTCATTTCAAATTTAGACTAACTTGTTCCCAGCAAGTAGCGCTGTAGACCAACTGGCCTTGCTTATCCATGTGATATGTCTGTGATACTTTTCTTTAGCTGCAGACACATTGCAGCATCTCCTGGTGGTCTTTCACATTTCCTCCACCCTTACACAGCCTTTTTACTTACTATTTACACATTCATTCTCTCTCATTTTGCTTCAACATGCAATTTTCTTAAGTGTTCTTTATTTCTTATATTTGCTCTCACTTGTGCATATGTATAAACTTTGCAAATGTTCACAGAGTAATCACACAAACGTGATGTATCAATGAGAAAATCTGTTGGAGCCAGTGATGAGGATTCGAACCTATGCAGTGGATATTCTTACATATACGTCCCAGATAACCTGGCAACGACATGGTAAAAGGATTGCCTTTGTTCTACTGAACACACGAGGGTTTCCTGAGGCTTCCACTGAAGCCAGAACAGGATTTTCACACAATCCCCCACGCACTCAGGCTTTGTCATTCAGAAATGTTCTACCTCTGATGCTACTCATTCAATACACATTACACATGTATAAACTTTGCTTCTCAGTGAAAGTGATGACTCTTCCATTTGTGAAAAAAAAGTCATGAGAAATTCTACACGAGACATCTTCCTTAAGGAATGGAGAACAAAATACCACTGATCAAGACAGGTTAAATTTACTTTAACATTTTCAAACATTTTCAATATTACATATTTGTTGTTAATAGTTAAGTCACATGATAGTTCATTTCTTAACACTAACTTGAAGAATCATCCAGGAAATGCTTTGAAAAAACCAGTGCCGGGTCTTGAAGTATTAAGTGTTGGGTGTGCAGTACCTTCAGTGGATGGAAAAATTATAATATTGTACTATTTTTATAACCATAAATATACATAAACCAGGCAAATTACAAGCATAATTATTATTTGTTTAGTTGTTTTGTGTGGTATTTTGTAAAGCATTTTCAAGGGCCTGGGCTAATGAACTATACTGTATAATTACCTATTGCATCCTTATGTAATACAGATTCTTTCTGTGATTCAAATTTATAAAATTTGAAATATAAACTTCAAATAATTTATAATCCAGTTTCTTAAATTATACAAAATATTGTTTTAAAATATGTGTTAATATTTTTGTTTTGATAATTATTAATTTCTGACAAAATAGTTTTAACTCCATGATGTAATTTCTCACCCCATGGCTTAACCCCATGTCACACACACTGGCTCAACCCCATGTCACACATTGGCTTAACCCCATGTCACACACTGGCTTAACCCCATGTCACACACTGGCTCAGCCCCATGTCACACACACTGGCTCAGCCCCATGTCACACACACTGGCTCAACCCCATGTCACACACTGGCTCAGCCCCATGTCACACACTGGCTTAACCCCATGTCACACACTGGCTCAGCCCCATGTTACACACTGGCTTAACCTCATGTTACACACTGGCTTAACCCCATGTTACACACTGGCTCAACCCCATGTTAAACACTGGCTCAGCCTCATGTTACACACTGGCTCAGCCCCATGTCACACACACTGGCTCAACCCCATGTCACACACTGGCTTAACCCCATGTCACACACTAGCTCAGCCCCATGTCACACACTGGCTTAGCCCCATGTCACACACACTGGCTCAGCCCCATGTCACACACACTGGCTCAACCCCATGTCACACACTGGCTCAGCCCCATGTCACACACTGGCTTAACCCCATGTCACACACTGGCTCAGCCCCATGTTACACACTGGCTTAACCTCATGTTACACACTGGCTTAACCCCATGTTACACACTGGCTCAACCCCATGTTAAACACTGGCTCAGCCCCATGTTACAGACTGGCTCAGCCTCGTTACACACTGGCTCAGCCCCATGTTACACACTGGCTTAGCCTCGTTACACACTGGCTCAGCCCCATGTTACACACTGGCTTAGCCTCGTTACACACTGGCTCAGCCCCATGTTACACACTGGCTCAGCCCCATGTTACACACTGGCTCAGCCCCATGTTACACACTGGCTCAGCCCCATGTTACACACTGGCTCAGCCTCGCTACACACTGGCTCAGCCCCCATGTTACACACTGGCTCAGCCCCCATGTTACACACTGGCTCAGCCTCATGTTACACACTGGCTCAGCCTCATGTTACACACTGGCTCAGCCCCATGTTACACACTGGATTAACCCCATGTCACATATAGTACCTATTCAAGTCTATGACACATGCCTGCTCAAGCCCATGTCACACACCTGCTCAAGCCCATGTCACAATCCTTATCAAGCCCATGCCACACACCAGCTTAAGCTAATGTTTCACACCTGTTGAAGCCCATGTTACACACCTGGTCAAACCCGTGACATAGGGGCCAGAGTGAGGTCAACAAACACGGGACAAAACAAAAACTGTGTATCAAAAGAGTACGGCTGACATAAAATAAAGAAGAATAAAAGTTTGCTGAATATCGGGGTTATGCACCTGCTGTCAACTGTTTATATAATATAAAACAATTACAGTACACTATATTAGTAATGCATCTGTCTATGCATAACCTAATCTAACTTACCACATTTTCTATCCATGTATAGAAAAAGTGGTTGTTTGTGACCTGTTATGATTTATAGTGCATCATGTTTTGTCCATTGAGGATTTTGACGTCCAAATGCGATATATTATTTGAGAGGACAGGTTATATGAAGGATGTACTATTTTTTATTTTTTTCTATGAACCAAAATTTTAATATCAAATAAAAAGTTTTCACATTTATCGATTGATTGCATTGTTGCTCTCTCCAAATAACATAATATGGTTAATGAGCCGAAATACATCTGACTAGAAATTTTGTCAGCTCTATGGCTATCCATCGGATGTGTCATGGCGGCTTAAGTATATATCACTGTCAGGTTAAGCATCATTGGGTTTTACCAACAACTACATAGGTGACTATATGGTCAGCTTCAGTTACCCTAGCAGTAAATAGGTACTCAGGATTTAGGCAACTATTGTGGGTTGCATGCTGGGGAGTCAGTTACTGGCACAGGGAGGGAGTGGGGAGAAGACCTCAATATAAGCCTGATAATGGGAACCCAATAAAAGGTGTGTTGGTACAGTACACTAATTTCATAGATCAATTGTATTTGTATTATTTTTCCAAACCATCCTCACAATTACTGCATCACTGTGTGTGCATGCTATGAACATAAATATACAAATTGAATAGTTTTTGAGGAAATAATTATAATAATAATAATAATCATAATAATAATAATAATAATAATAATAAAAATTCATTGTGTCAAGGAACAGGTAGCCAGTGTATATAATTAATTTTAATTCTTTTTTAGTAATTAATAATGCAGGATATGCATGTTAGGCTTATACTGAGGTTTCCCCAGGGTGGAATTACTGACCCTTCCCAGGATGTAACCCCGCAACAAGCTAACTAACTCATGGGGTACCTATTTACTGCAAAGTGAACAAGGTATTAGGCGACAAGAAACTAACCCAACCATTTCTGTTCCACCCGGGGGTTCAAATCCAAAATTCCTGACCGAGTCAAGAATGACCACAACTGTAGTACCTGGACCCCTAAATACAAATGAACCAATTTGTATGCATTCTTTGGTTAATGAACATCAGCCTCAATAGGATATATGAGTTAATGTAGTTCCATGTACTTATAATTAGGCAAACATATACAAATTAGATGCTCGTAAAATCGAAAGAATGAGCTTAATTTTCACGATTTAATTCTCCTTGTACACTGATACATTGTACAACTTTCAATACTGTACAGTTATGAATGTGGTTATGCACATTAATCCTTCTTTTTGAGGTACTCTCGTGGCACAAGACCAGAACGTCCTTTATGCGTTGCCTTCCACCAGCCGGAATTGCCTGTTGTATCATGTATTAAAATAACATCACCCCGGTTGAAGCTTAGTGCCTGGTCAATGGTAGCCACAAAGGCAAACTTTGCTACATACCAATCTGAAACAAAGAATTTTCCAATTAGTGTCAACAGCATGAGCTCACAGCACTGCTCTTCAACTTGTGACCACAGCATCGCCTAATAATGTCAAAATATGTATGTAACTGGTATTATTTAGCCATGATAGTATTACAGAAGAGCCTGAGTGTGATAATGACTGTGTACAATGTTCAAATATCAGTGAATCAATGCTGTTCACGATGTTCACAGTGCTAGCCACAGCACCACATCATTATTTCGTCCACCTAGTAATCTTCAAATGACTTCTTAAGTTTCTTTACAAAATAAATTAGAGTTTAATTATTCATTTGCAGGATTTAGTAACCAGGATTGTGATAATAGCGGGATTGTGGTAATAATTAGCGCTGAGCGTAGTATTGTGGGAGGAGGAATTTTGGTGAGGAGGGAGGTACTCGAGGTAGCGTCACTGTGTGTGGCAGCCATATCTTGTTTGGGCTCACCATACTAGCTTTGTGGTTCGCTCTGGTGAACACAAATGTAGATACTTATATATAACATGTGAATATAGTGTAATAACAGTAACAGGAATATGTTGGGAGGAGCCATTTTGGTGAGGGAGGTGACGTCGCACTCGTAGGATCGTCTGCTGTGTGACTTGTCATGCAGTGTATGGTGGCCAATGTATTGTGTCCAATTGTGTTTGGACACAATACCAGCTTAGTTGTATAGTTATGGTGAATAAAACATGTAGATACAGTACTTATACATAACGTGTGTAAATAGTGTAATAAAAACAGTAACAGTATGGTGGGAGGAGGAATGTTGGCGAGTAAGGTGTTAGAGGAGTGAGGGAGGGCTGGCTGGGTGTGGCAGCTCACTCATGTTTTCTTGGGCTCCCCATACCAACTTAGTGGTTCGTTATGGTGAACACATACGTAGATGGGTATATACAATGTGTGTGTGTATATAGTGTAATAACAGCAAAAACACTGTTTGATCGATCATAGAATATAATATATACTGTATGTCACATATATGAGCCCCATAATTTTGAGCATAGCGATGTTCCACACTTTGATCTATATAAATTCCACAAATTACACACTTTTGAATAATATTATAGCAAAAAAAAGAGAAGAAACGAATGAGAAACATCAAAATAATTGTGAAACATATTCGCGGCAACTGCCGTCCTACGGGATCGCGGGGCCGACTGACCCCCAGCGCTCCATCGCTCAGCGCCCATAATTTGCTCAACTTCCCAGCTCCATCGTGGCTAAAGTATGTCGCACAATATTTTTTTTAGTTTCCCATGATCAGAGACTGCATTTTAACAATATAAGAGAAAATAATTTTTTAAAGAATTTATTTCTTGTGCACTAGGGGGTTGCTATATTTGGAGGCAGAGCAGTTTAGTGGTTAATAGGAATTATAGGGGGTTGACAAAATAATGGCAAATATAATTTAGTAATTTTGAATATAGGTTCTATGGAAAGATAAAACTATGCGGTGATAGACATATTATACATATTGTGTAGCATAACATTTGATTGTGTTTGAGAGGCTATTTCACAATTTAGAATTCTTTATTTGTAAGGCATTTATTGAATCAAACAACAGGGAGCGTCAAAGAGATATGTGCTTCTTGTGTAGTATCCTTGAGTTTTGTTATAACCATCTAAAATGTGTTTGAGGTCAGGATTGGTATTACAGTATAGAATTTAGAGGATATGTAATATATATTTGAATGTGTTTGAACAAAGTGTTTAACAATGTGCTTCTATGAATAATACTAGTCAATAGTTGATTATTGCTATCAAAGTTTCCCTTACTTTCACATTTTACAGAGCACAGTGTTTGCTTGTGATATGGAAATCAGATTTAAAAATTCTCCATTGATATCTTATTTCAGGATAAAAAAAATCAGAGCCTATTAAGCAAATTTAAAACATTTGTATACTGTACTTGGGGATAAGTTTATAACTACCAAATAATAATGGAATTTCTGTGGAGAGCCTCTTCGGCTCCCCTGAGGTATACCGGGCTGATGTGTATATATTAGACCGTGGCAACAGTCAATCGAAGGAGTTCTAGGCCTACTGGGGACCAGAGCCAGAACCTGGCCCCCTCAAGAGAGGCACGAGGAGCAATGGCCTAATGACACCCCTGTGTAATTGGAAGCAGTCTTTGTCTGCCATCTACCAGGTCAGGCACCCAGAAAGGTAGAAATTCCAAAACAAACTACAGTACTGCTGATTAATTAATTGCAAACCGAAAGCTGAACTAGCAACAGAACTCTCCAATGAAAACCAAGGAAACCAGTATGACGTCACCATGAACGCTGCGCATCCGTCTGCGCAACCCTCCCCCCTCCCCGGGAGAGGGACGGAGGGATCCCAGACCTCCGTGCCAGCAACTCTCCCTAGTTCACAGGCTGTTGTGAGGGAGAACGGTCGATCAACTCTGGCTCCATCCTTTGAGCAGTACTGCAGTACGGTGGTGGTGTTCATTTTTGGTATTGTGTGAGCCAGGAATAACACAAGAGTACTGGGGCTGCATGCACCTAGGGCCGCCTTCCCAAAGTGCCCTGTAAGTACTGCCCTTGCAGCTTCAGGGTTATCTTCCCTGAGCCGTTCGGGAACTACCTCCGTGTGGTTCTGTTGCTGCTCGGTGATTGCCCGCCCTTGGGGGTTCTGCTGGGGTGGTTCTTGCTCCTGTTTTTCCTTGGGTAGGAGGTAGTTTCGTCGCTGGCAAGGGCGCGAGGTACTGTGCAGCTGTCTGATATATAAATAACGACCAGTTTTGTTCCCCTGGAGACGTTGTGCTTTTGCGGGATTTTTCTTTTATTTTCGTTTTGTTTTGCCTGGCGGGGGTCTGCAAGGTGTGGCGGTAAGACCACTTGTATGATTTTGGTGGCCCTCCACTAGGTGCTCGTGCTTGTACATGTCGCAGGAGTTCAACTTTTAGTTTGTTTGCTTGGTAGCTCTGGGATAACCGGTTAGCAGTACCTCGCCTTGGCTTCCCTTAGCAGTTAGCCTAAGGGCTCTGGAAACCCCCTTGGGGGTTTCCAGAGTCTGATGGAAGAGACCCAGAGTCCCACCTCGCCTTGTGCGAGTTTGAAGGTTGCTCTGTCCCCTTGACTCAGGGTGACACTCACCGTCTTTGTCTCCGCCATGCTGCTTGTTGGGTCAGTGACTCCTTTGACCCGGAGTCCTGTGAGTGGTGTTCCTTGTTTGTACTCCAATTTACCCAATCCACTAAGATTGTTATTAGGGTGCAAGCAGCTTCAGCATTGCATGCAAGGTTTAGGTTGCTGCAATGTGCAAGGTTGGTTGCATTTCCAGATGCCCGGCAGCTGCCCCACTTTGATTATAGGGACCTGAACTTGGGGGTGTTAATCTCCTCGACTTTGGTTTCACCTGCTCCCCTAGTCCTTCCCCTGCTGTGGTTCATCCTGCTCCCCCCCCCCCTGCTTCCGGCTCACAAACCTCTGAGGGTTTCAGAGTCGGGGCAGGGTTTGCCTGGTGGTGAGTCTCGGGCAGCTTTGGGGAATGCCCCCTTCCGGATCGGTGGCGGAGGCATTCGAGCCTGTTCCTCCTCCTTGAGTCCTTGGGCCGTGCCAGCGGGCCCCCTTCATCCCATCTTTTCCGGCGGACTCTGCCTTTTCTCCAGAGGCAGAGGATTTGGAGGACAGCTCGGCCCTGGGTCCTGACGTTGAGGTTCCCGGGGCTGGGGAGGAGTTGACTTGGGGTGCTTGGGCCCCATTTGACCCCGCTTGGGTGTTGGTACCCTCGGTGCAGGGCTTGTTGTTACAGGGGGTGGGGTTTTCCTATCCCCCCCTCCCTGTACGAGTTTGATATGGGTGCGACTCCTCCTCGGGTTCAGTTCCGGATTCCCTTGGGTTCCTCGGTTCCCTCCTTCCAGAGGTTTTCAGCTTCCCACATCACATCAAAGGTGGCGCAGGAAGCCCTTGCGGCTTACCTCTTGTGAGACCCGGATTACGCTTCGGTAATGGATCCTTCTTCTTTCACGTTTGGCTCCTCGTTTTCCTTCAGGATACGTTACGAGGTGCCGGAGTCTTCCTGGCTGGCGGACTGCCCTTTCTTTTCATTGGGGGCACGGCACTCGTTCTGTCAGACCTGTGCACTTGAATGGTGGGAAGTGACTACGGTTGTTCAGGTTTACCTAAAGGGGGCAAATTTGAGCACTTCAATGCGTGCTTGTTCACCACCGGACTTCCTCGTCATGTCAGTCAGATGCAGCTTCACGCGCAGGTTCCCTCCCTTTCGGCATCCCTGGTGGCCGAGGATTTGCACGCCCGTGGGCATTTGGCTTCGGTTTTGCATTTCTTTTCTCTGCTGGAGCTGTCTTTGGACTGGCTCGGTGAGGATGAGTAGGAACTGGGATCTGGGCCTATGTCCAGTGTGTTTGCTTCAGCAGCTCGGTCATCAGCTGCCTTGTTAGAGTTGTTTGCGCCGATTCTGAGGGATCGCCGATTCGGTGTCCCTGTTCTTTGCTTCTCGTCTCGCGTGCCGTCAGGCGGTGCTCATCCACTCATTGGAATCGGCTTGGACCCTGGCTCTTAGATTTTCGTCCCCTTTTTGTCCGTTGCTGTTTGCAGAGTCTGCGGTGGTGCATTTTCTGCAAGCGGCTTTGTCTAGTTGCCGTCCTATGTTGGACTTGTTGGTTCTCCAGGGAGGGGGGGGGCTGTGATGGTCCTGCCCGGAAGGATCGTGCCAGGTCCTGGGGTTCCTTCGGTCGTCGTAAGCCAGTAGTGCCAGATTCGAGGCTGGCACCTCCTCTGGAGCCGTCGGCATCTGGTCTGCACAGTGATCGCTTTGAGTGCTGGCCGGGCTCTCGTAGGGGTCGTCTGCCCTTTCGTGGATCATCCCGTTAACAGGGCGATAGGGGGAGGCTCGCGCTATTTGCTCTCGCCTGGTCCCACGATTCGTGGGGATTTTGAGTCGTTTCCTCTGGCCTGCAGTGGCATTGGGTCGCTCCTCCTCCTTTGGGGGGGGGAGGGGCTGGTAGGTCAGGCCTCTTCTCCTGTGCTCTGTCAAGTCATCTGGGAGTGGGTTCACTTGGGTGTGGTCAAAACGACAACATCCCTCAGGTGAGTTTCCCACCTGTTTTCAGTTTCGAAACGGGACTGTGCGGATCTGCAATTCATACTGGACTTGTCTCATCTGAATCCCTGGGTCTTTTTCCCCCTCTTTTCGAATGACCACTCTGTCTCAGGTTCGGTTGCTTTTGGCACCGGGTGCCTGAATGGTGTCTCTGGACCTCCGGGACGTCTATTGGCACGTCCCAATTCATCCGGGGTTCAAGGACTGGCTCGGTTTTGTTGTGGGGTGACAAGCTTACCACTTTCGTTGCCTTCCATTTGGCTTGAATCTGACACCTCGAGTGTTCACACGCCTTACCCGGGTCATGGTGGCCCGGTTGCATCTGTTAGGGGTTCGGGTTCTGGCTTATCTCGACGACTGGCTGGTGAGGGCTCCCAGCCAGTCGACGTGTCTGCTCGCCAGGGATTTGGTTCTTTCCCAGCTCGCCGGGTTTGGGTTCTTGGTGAACTGGAGGAAGTCCCATTTGGTTCCCTCTCAGGTTTGAACTTGGCTGGGTCTTGCGTGGGATTCTCAGACCACTTCCTTGTCTCTCCCTCTTGCAACGCTGTTACGGCTGCGGTCCCGCCTCCGGCTGTTTTTGGAGGGCACCCAGGTTACACGTCGGTTGTTCGAGCAGCTGTGCGGGACCCTGAACTTCGCCATGATGGTCTACCCATCAGGTCAGATCTGGCTTCGGTGGATGTTCTGGTTTCTGCGGGGTCGTCCCTTCCACTGCGCTCGCGATCGATGGGTTCAAATCCCGGGAGCCTTGCATCGGCTGCTGCTTCACCGGCTTCCTCTGCGGGTTTTTTGGGGTTCTGTGCCATGGTGCCTCCCCGAGCCCTCGCTGGATGTGTTCACGGATGCCTCGTCTCTCGGCTGGGGTTTTGTGACAAGTGCTCACTAGGCCAGCCAGGGTCGGTGGGATACGTCCTTCCGTCGTGCTCACAGCACGGCGTGGGAGTTTGCGGCAGTGCGACGTTCGCTTCAGAGGATTCGAGTCGCTCGAGGAGCAACGATCTGGTTCCATTCGGACTGCTCCCTGGTGGTTCATTGCTTGAACCGCGGGGGTTTGATGCGGTCCTTGGTTCTTTGGGGCTGGGGCTGACTCGTCTGCTGAGTTCTCGGGGTTTGGCTCTCCTGGCAGTTCATGTTCAACGTGTGTCAAACGTCCTGGCCTGGCCTGTCTCGGTTCATTCCCCTCTCCACGGAATGGACAGTCGACGCCGACTCGTTCAGTTGGCTCTGCCAGACGTACGGGCGCCCAGAGGTGGACCTCTTCGCATCGGTGTGGTCGAGGCGTCTTCCAGTTTATGTGGTGCCATTCCCAGACTGCGAAGCCGTCGGGGTCGATGCCTTTCGGCTGGACTGGTCGAGGTGGAGTTACCTGTACCTCTTCCCACCGGTCCAGTTGTTGCTCCGAATCCTGGCTCGGTTGGAGACTTACCAGGGAAGAGTAGTCCTGTTGGCTCCTTGGTGGCCGGCCCAGCCCTGGTTTCAAGAGCTTCTTGCTCGATGTCCAAACCCGAGGGTCTTCCTGCGGCTCCGCCTCTTTCAGCAGATCAGTCCAGTCCGGTATGTGGCTGGTTTGATCTTCTCCTCCACTCTTTGCGTCTGGTCTTTTTGACGCGGGTGTATCACCACTTGTATAGTGATCAGGTGGCTTCTTTGATGGTGTCCCACCTGCGAGTTTCGTCTAGACGGCAGTATGAAATTTCCTGGCGGTTCTTTTAGCATTTTTTTGTCTCTACGTAGGTTGTCTTCGGTTTCTGATCGGGTTGTTTTGTCCTTTCTATCTTGGTTGTTTCAGGACCATCATCTTATGCCAAATACTGTCGCCTCGTATCGTGCGGTGCTGGCAGAGCCGCTGCAGCTTGCTTTCGGGGATGGATGCTACTTCTGCTCCATTCCGCAAGCTTTCTCAAGTGTTTTTTCACCTCCGGCCTGCTCAGGCGCCGCCTGAGCCGTCCTGGTCGTTGGGCTGGGTGCTCTCTTTTCTCTCTTCTTCTCGGTTTGTGGTGGCCCCCTCGATTCAGGACTGTTTTTCTAAGGCTCTTTTCTTGTTGGCATTGGTCTCTGGAGGTTGGGTCGGGGAGCTTCATGCAATCCTCCGGCGAAGGGGGGTTTCTGCTCTTTCGGTCCTGGTGGTCGTTTCGTTCATTTGCAGTCTTCTCCTTCTTTTCTGGTGAAGAATGAGTCTGCTGCTTTCCAAAGGGGTCCTTGGGTTGTTGATGCTTGGTTGGTTCGGCCGGGGGTGCATCATACTTTGTGTCCGGCTGCGACTCTTCGCCGTTATCTGCGTGCCATGGCCTCCGTGGCAGGGGATGAGCTTAGGGTGGACCTGGTTTCCCTTCTTCCCTGTTCTAGGGTGCGGGTCTCCCAGGTCGTCCACAGGATTATTTGGTCCAGCCAGCCTGCGGTCTATCCCCGTGCCCATGACGTTCGTAAGTTCGCAGCTTTGACTGCTGTTTTTGGGAATATGTCCTGGGCTGACCTCCGGGCACAGGGCTTTTGGAGGTCGAACAGGGTCCTGGCTTCATGGTATCTTGTTAATGTTCCTGGCCCTTCTCGGGCGTGTGTAGCCTTGGGTCGTAGGTTGCAGCCAGTTGTCTCGACTTCGAGTTGAGGAGCGAGTGATGACCTCCTCCCAGGTAAGTCCCTCTTTTCTTTTTCTTTGGTTAGGTAGCTCCAGGGAGCTGAAGGGGTTCTCCACAGAAAACCAGTGTTGAATGTAATGAAACGCCATTTTCTGGGTGAGACCCGGAGGCTCCCCGGCATCCCTCCCTCCCTCCGGTCTGCAATTTTTTCGCATTTTTGATACTCAACCTCTGAACTGGGGAGAGTTGCCAGCGCGGAGGTCTGGGACCCCTCCGTCCCTCTCCTGGGGAGGGGGGGGGGAGTTGTGCAGACGGATGCACGGCGTTTGTGGTGACGTCATGCTGATTTTCCTTGATTTTGATTGGAGAGTTATGTTGCTAGTTCGGCTTTCGGTTTGCAATTAATTAATCAGCAGTACAGTAGTTTGTTTTGGAATTCCTACCTTTTTGGGTGCCTGACCTAGTAGATGGCAGACAAAGACTGCTTCCAATTACACGGGGGTGTCTTTAGGCCATTGCTCCTCATGCCTCTCTTGAGGGGGCCAGGTTCTGGCTCTGGTCCCTGGTAGGCTTAGAACTCCTTCAATTGACTGTTGCCACGATCTAATATATATACATCAGCCCGGTATAGCTCCAGGAGCCTCCGGGTCTCTCCCAGAAAATGGAGATTCATTACATTCAACGCTGGTTTTTAATGGATTAATGGATAAATAAACAGCAGATGATGAAAAGAATGCTAGCAAAAAATGGAGGTGGCTTTATGACTCTGATATTGCTTAAATCAAACCAAAATATACATGATAAGCATGTAGGCAAGAAATGAGAGAGAGCTTTATGACTGAGATGGTTTACTTAAAATACCATAAAGTACTTAAGTATATTTCATGCATGTGTAATATGCAGTAATGCTTAGTAGGGAGGCCACGAAAAAAGAACAGCACAGTATTGCATCATATGAAAGGAAAATTGAGATACAGATACTGTATACAAGCAGTGAATACAAATAAATAATTATTTATCTTTACCTCCTGTTGTCTCTGGCACAGTTCTCCATGGAGCAATTGCATCTTCACCTTGAGAGTCTTGCTGATGATTGCCTTCAAAGCTGTTGTCATCTGGTGTTTCATAATGGTCATCATCAGATGCATCCCCATTTTCTAATGTTGAATTAGAGCTCTTGATTTCCTCAATTGGTGGCATGCTTTTCTGTGTTATTGTAGTTCCATTTATGAGGTTATGTGGCCTAGGCGGTAACACTGGTTTAATCAATTTCTGCTCAGAAACTGTTGCTGGTATTGTATTTTCAATAGGGAGATTAGATTTAGGAGGCATATCATCCTCTTTATCATTTGCAGTAACAGCAGAGCAAACTGGTTCCTCTCTACTTTTAAGGTGATCATCCTTTTCAGCTATGGTTTTATTTTTATTTATTCGTGCAATTATATCCTTAACTGATGTTCCCTGACATGACTGTTGAATCTCTCTTGTTCCGTCTCTGGCCTGAATGTCTTCTATCTTTTCAAATCGTTTTGTTAAAGCTTTTAAGGTGCTTTTTGGGTAGGGATCTTCTTGCCCACTTAAAAATGAACTCATTGGTCTGGAGCATTCTTCAATAATTGAGTTTTTTCTTTCATTTACATTTGGCTTGATGGAGACAATGGTCTGAGAAGGAGGAACTTGGTACATCTGAGAAGCTGTAGGTATGGGTCCTGAAATTTCGTGCACTGTTTCAGGTTCAGCTATTTCTTCAGCATCAGTAGGAATGGGATTTGAGGGTGGAATTTGATATTCAGCATCTATGTTTGGAACTATGCAGGGCACCTTATATTCAGAATCATCATCCACTACTGAAGGAATTGGAATCCCTTTAGGAGGTAATTTGGGTGGTGTTATCGGGTTAGATGACCTTAAAGGATATTTTTGTAAGTGATGTGAAGGACTAAATTCTGATATATTCATAAATATTTCATCACTGAGAAATCCAACTAAGGAGTTTGATGATGATCTTGAATTGATAGATGGCATTTCAGTAGTCTTCTGGTGATGTAAACCATCAGAGAAAACTGAAATTTCTGTATCTGAATTAGAGTTTACACCTTCCATTTTGCTACTGTCTTTCTGTGCTTCAAGAGTCTTCATCAGATTTTCACGGCCAATTTCAACTATGTCTTCTTCAATTTCACAATAAATGCCAATAGGATCATCACCCTCATTGGGTTCTGGTGGAGCATCAGGAAGTGGTCTTACTGCTTGTTTGTTTAATCGATCTTGGAGAACATCTGGAAGTGGTGGTCGTCCCGGAGGGGGTCTTCTTAAACTGGGCGTTGATGGTAATGGAGTCAAAGAGGGAGGTTGTGGGAAGTCATCAGGATATATCTAAAACATACATAATTTGTATTACTCCTAAAGGCATTCACAAAATTGTCTCAAATATTGTATTAGCCAAATATCTCTAAATTTCATTTATAAGTGAAGAATTATGAAGTATACCATGCTTCACAGAAAACTACAATAAATTTACTTATCCTCAATTTATGATTAACAAACCGCAGTACACAAATTTTTCCATGCTGTATATACTTCCTATACTTTCTGTATATACTTTCCTATACTTCAGAACTATTTAACCCTTAAACTGCGCATGGCGTATATATACGCCATGAGTAACATGTCCCATGGTGCGCATGGCGTATATATACGCCATGAGTAACATGTTCCACTGTGCGCATGGCGTACATATACGCCATAGGGTGCCAGGCACGATTCAAATGGCCCACGGCTACACAGGGTTCACATCAGCATCCTCAGGGCTCTTGTAAACAGACGCCATGTTTAAAAAAAATCGTGGGCAATATTCTACGGTGTGAGAGCCACAGTACTGTTGGAGCAACCAAGGCTGGCGCATGCAGCATGAGCTAACAGCATTGCTGTTCAGCTTGTGACCACAGCATCGCCTAAAAATGTCAAAATAAATATGTAACTGCTATTATTTAGCAATGACAATATTACAAATGACTCCTGACTGTGATAAAAATGACCAGGATTGTGATAATAGCAGGATTGTTGTGATAATTAGCGCTGTGTGGGAGTAGTAATGCTGTGGGAGGGAGGGAGATAGCATCGTTTACTGACTGTGTGGCCACCTGTTATTGTCTGCATTCACCATACCAGCTTAGTGGTTCTCTATGGTGAACACAAATGTAGATACTTATATATATTGTGTGTATAAGTGTAATAACAGCAAAAGGATTATGTTGGGAGGAGCCATTTGGGTGATGGAGGTGGCATCATCTGCATGACTTGTCTAGCTGTGTAGAGGGTGGCCACTATGCATCCTACAAGCTTAGGTGTACAGTTACAGTGCATATAGCATGTAAATACTTATATATAATGTGTGTATATATAGTGTAATAACACCCCAAACAGTATTGTTGGGGAAGAAATTTAGTGTGTCTGACCTTGAATGAGTGAGGGAAGCAGCCACCAGCTGACTGTGAGTGTAACGATGTCTCTTAGTGCCTGAACTAACTATATCAGCTTAGTTGTACAGTTGTGGTGAACAAAACATATAGATACTTTTATATAATGTGTGTATATAGTGTAATAACACCCCAAACAGTATTGTTGGAGGAGAAATTTAGTGCGCCTGACCTTGAATGAGTGAGGGAGGCAGCCGACAGCTGAGTGTAGTGATGTCTCTTAGTTCCTGAACTAACTATATCAGCTTAGTTGTACAGTTGTGGCGAACAAAACATGTAGATACTTATATATAATGTGTGTATATAGTGCAATAACTGCAAAACTATTTGTTTATTGTTTTATAAACATAATAATTGAACCACTAATATGAACACTACTGAATAATATTACTGCAAAAAATTAAGAAAAAATAAATCAGAAACATTGAAATAATTAGGTAATAATATCTTTGTGGCAACTCCCACCTGACAGCTTGGGTGACGCTGACCACCTCTGATGACTGCTCTGTCAACGCCCACATTTTGCCACACTTCCTCGGTCTATTGCACCCAAAATATGTCACCTAAGATTTTTTTTATTTTTCCCATGCTCAGGGAACACAAATTAACATTTATAGATGAAAAAAAAATTTAGAATTTTTTTTTCTTGAGCACAGGGGTGTAAATTTCCTCAGGACCCCTTAGCAGCTTAAGGGTTAATTACATTATTAATGGTAATTTATATGTTACCGGGACTATTAATCTACAACAGTGTCAAAGGAAAAAATATTTTTTTCAGAACAATTTTTTTCTGCACCCACAGGACTGTCAAATTTAACAAGTGCACAGTGCAGAGGTTGAGGCATAATATTCTTACAACAAGTTACAGTATTATGATAAATTTTACTGATAATCCTGAGGTATTGTGAGGAAAATACGAAACACAAGTCAACAAAGTATTTCTTAGATGATTATTCTAAAAGGACTTTAACAAATCCATTGAGAGAGAAAATGGTCAAACAGATGGATGGCTACACAAACAATGTGTATCACTGTGTCAGTCCAGTTATTAGCAATATCCTTGGAAGAAGTGTCAAAGCTAAATTCTTTTAAACATATTAGATCTATTTAACTTTCTCACGAAGGCCTAGTATCTTAATAAGATAGAGATAAAAGAAGTTACCGGGTCATAATCCGGGGGTTGAGATAGTGGCGGTGGCGGTGGTGGTAGTGTCTCAATGTTCCCCACCACCATGCCTTCAGGATCTACTTCCTCATACACCTTGGCACCATGAAAAAGAGCCATTTTTATTTTGTTAGAAATAGCACAAAAGCACTGTATAGCAAGCAACACTAACTAATAACTATAACTAGTTAAATATTCACTACAGTATAAATAACACAAATTCATGATATTATAAATATATATACAGTAAATATAATATATATTATATACTGATAATTCTAATAATAGACACACAATATTCTGTCAACACTCACTTCATCTCTGACATCACTAGCAACATCATGATAATAAAAATATTCATCTGCAGGCTTGTCATCCTTTCTATGTATTATCTGTAGAGGTAGAGGAGCTTTCGGTGGCAGGATTAATTCAGTACCTCCTTTAAACGTGTCTCCACTTGTATTATTATATGCGACTGCTTCTGCTACAGAACTACTGGAAGATTGTATGCGGATTCTGCCATACTTAATGGAGTGATCTATGGCAGCCAACCAATCCATTTTATCACGAGCTGTCCGTGCAATAAACTGAAAGAAAAATATGTGAAAAAATAAAACTTTGTTGAAAATGACTCGGCATGTGCTAAGACGATAACCTATACTGTACTATTTTAAAATTTGTTGACAAAACATTTGTAATGCCTTTATTACTTTCCTTTTCTTTGTCATTTTGCATTTTGTACTTTCACATTTCTACATTATACTTCTATTCTTAGAAGGACACATTCATTAAAAAATTAAAAAATATTTAATCGAGCAATTACCAAATCCTTTATTGACCTTTGGGCTGTGTTCCTGTTAATAGCTGACAATCTTTCAGTGCACAAGTAAAAAAAAAATCTTCTAATATTGTTAAAATGTGTTCCCAAATCATGGGGAAAAAAAAATTAATATTGCTTATCATTGCTGTGAATGAGCAGAGACGTCACAATTTGTGCTTACTCCAGACGTGAGCGTACCTGTGGCGTTGTGTGGCCATTCAATCAGCGGGACGTGCCACAAATTTATTTTTTTCGCATTACTGTATTTAAATACGATGCATTTTATCAGCATTTTTTCAGTGATTTGTTCAATATGTTCAATATGATTTCACTGATAATGTATTATAATAAACTTGCATAACATCGATATATACAAATATATTCGTGTCACAAATGTGCATGCCAAAATGTTTTTTCACAGTAAATATCATATGTACAGTATTCCAGAGTTTTCATTAACATATACATATCATGCACTCAATATGTTTATGCACTATTATTGAATACTCAGAAGGTCTGTAGAGTGTGATACACCGTGAAGCGATTCACACAGCAAAGGGGCACTCTGCACTCTTTGCACCATCTTCTCACCATTTTGTGCAGCCGTTAGGCCTTGAAAGCCAGTTTATCTATAGCAGCAAGAGACAATGATGAGTTCTGAATGCCTCTGTTTATGACATAAATGTCTTTACTGAACTTTGTTAGTAATTGTGTCAAAATGGCAAGACTAAACACATGCATAGTTGGTCTATGACTAGATTTCACCACATACATACTGTAACTGTTTAGCATGGTTTTGTCAACAAGGTGGAAAAACATCTTCTTAGCCCACCACACTATTTTACATACACTACAGCACCAACCATCATATCACATTATTTAACCAAATGCAAGTTTATGTTATAGTCCATGACACAATCTAGTTTATATATTTGGTTTACATATTCTTTAGTTGCTTTGTTCACCTTACCACTGTTCATCATCCTACCAGCGTAGATGATTGTCAACATACTGTATTCACTTCCAGTCTGTTTTTTTCCAACACACTGCAAGTATTTGATCACTTTTTCATACCTGGCATTCACCTACTGCATTATAACCACTGGCATTTCCCTCCTTCATGACTTTACTGTGCCACACACTCCAGTTCCATTTTCAAGCAAGAACATAGTTAGCAAGGGACTGGTATAATAGTTGTCTGTGTATAAAATGTAGACCTTGTTTGGCCATGGTGCCATCACTGTCTTCACTACACTACATGAGAAACCATGTGGATCATTACTGCGAATGTCTACATTGGTACATACCAGAATATAATATCATATGTACCTTACCTTGAGGTTACCTTGAGGTGCTTCCGGGGCTTAGCGTCCCCGCAGCCCAGTCGTCGACCAGGCCTCCTGGTTGCTGGACTGATCAACCAGGCTGTTGGACGCGGCTGCTCGCAGCCTGACGTATGAGTCACAGCCTGGTTGATCAGGTATCCTTTGGAGGTGCTTATCCAGTTCTCTCTTGAACACTGTGAGGGGATTGCCAGTTATGCCCCTTATGTGTAGCGGAAGCGTGTTGAACAGTCTCGGGCCTCTGATGTTGATAGAGTTCTCTCTCAGAGTACCTGTTGCACCTCCGCTTTTCAACGGGGGTATTCTGCACATCCTGCCATGTCTTCTGGTCTCATGTGATGTTATTTCTGTGTGCAGGTTTGGGACCAGCCCCTCTAATATTTTCCACGTGTAAATTATTATGTATCTCTCCCACCTGTGCTCAAGGGAGTACAGATTTAGGCTCTTTAGTCGGTCCCAATAGTTTAGGTGTTTTACTGAGTGGATTCTAGCAGTAAAGGATCTCTGTACGCTCTCCAGGTCAGCAATTTCTCCAGCTTTGAAAGGGGCTGTCATTGTGCAGCAGTACTCCACTCTAGAGAGCACAAGCGTTTTGAAAAGTGTCATCACCGGTATAGCATCTCTAGTGTGAAAAGTTCTTGTTATCCAACCTGTCATTTTTCTTGCAGTTGTGACGGATACTTTATTGTGTTCTTTAAAGGTAAGGTCTTCCGACATGAGTACACCCAGATCCTTTACATTGCCTTTACGTTCTATGTTATGATTTGCCTAAGTTTTGTACATGGTTTCCGTTTTTATATTTTCATTTTTTCCATAGCGCATGAGCTAGAACTTATCTTCATTAAACACCATATTAATTTCTGTAGCCCATAGAAAGACCTGATCTACATCTGACTGGAGGTTTGCCGTGTCCTCTATGTTGCCTACTCTCATGAAGATCCTAGTGTCATCTGCAAAGGATGATACAGTGCTATAGGTTGTGTTCTTGTCTATGTCCGATATGAGGATGAGAAAAAGTACTGGAGCAAGCACAGTACCCTGGGGGACTAAGCTCTTCACGGTTGATGGGCTGGATTTTATTTTGTTGACTATTACACATTGGGTTCTGTTGGTCAGGAAATTGTAGATCCATCTGCCTATTTTTCCGGTAATTCCTTTTGAACGCATTTTATGTGCAATAACGCCATGGTCACATTTATCAAAAGCTTTTGCGAAATCTGTGTAAATTACATCAGCGTTTTGTTTGTCTTCCATAGCATCTAATGCCATATCATAGTGGTCCAGCAACTGCGACAGGTCATGTGTGGAATGGTCACACATGGAATGTGTGAACATTCCTGTTTCATAATCATAGAATACAAAGAATTTCAATCCAAATCTGTACCATTTGGAGGGAATATACTGTTTGAAGGCAAACTGTCCTTTGAAAAGAACAAATGATTCATCAATCACCAGCTTCTAAGCTAGTACATAAAAATCTCGGAACATCCCAATCAGTTAATTGAGGGGTGCGCCTGACCTTCCAAAGTTTATCATCTTTTCTCTGGTTTGTATTACTGTATTTGCAAATTGAAGGCACCCGAGAAGTAACAAAAATAATCAAAGTGAATGGGGGGACCTTCGACAAGCTGCCGGCTTCCTGTCCTTGTTGAGGCCACAAGGGTTAGTGGCCCTCACAAAAGTCTTGAACAAATCAACAAAGACCATGATGAGGGTTCGAACCTATGCGTTTAGTTAGTTTAGTTCATTTGTTATGCACCCCATACCCATCCTGTAGGCAGTAGTAGAAAGGGTTACAGAGACACATAATGTGCTGGATGTTTCCAGATGTGCTTTAGTCAACTGTATCATGACATGGTACAGTATATGCATTCATTTGATATACTGTATATCATATTACAGTATTGTGGTTTCTATGTGACAAGTCCTGAATGATTTGTTTCAAGTATAGTGAACAGAATGTTCATTATACTAAGTGCAAGACACACACAGTTCAGCTACAGTGGTATATTTCCAATACTGTAATCTTGAATATGGTAACATACAAGAATGTAAAAACTCTTTTATATATATATATATATATATATATATATATATATATATATATATATATATATATATATATATATATATATATATATATATATATACAAGCGTCACGCCGGTTTGTTGTGGTGGGTGGGAGATGGTCCAGTTTGCCCGCTGTGACTTCACAGATTCACGGCCTATTATTCCTATTATTTTGAATTGCCATAAGGCTGGAATGTTCATTCTGTGCTTTTGTTTTACATATCTGCACAATCAAGAAACATCTGTGCACCATGTTGGCTCCAAATGCACGCATTGCATCAGTGATGGCTGACTGGTGGGTGGATGGACGATGGAGTTTAGGTGGAAGGCAGTATGAATGAGGGGGGGGGGGGAGAATCAGTGAGAGAGGGGGAGAGAGAGATGCTAGGAGGGAGGGGGAGGTAGGGAGAGATGTTAGGAGGTAGGGAGAGATGCTAAGAGGGAGGGGGAGGTAGGGAGAGATGCTAGGAGGTAGGCAGGAAGGGATGGAAGTAGTGAGAATTAGGGAGGGAAAGGCAGGCTGGCAGGCACAGGCAGGCAGGCAGGCACAGGCAGGCAGGCACAGGCAGGCAGGCAGGCGCAGCAGGGAGTGAGTGGTAGTCACGCGGTTGAACCGCGTGACCTTGAGAGATGGGATGTAGGGGGGCGGGTGGTTTGTTGGTGGTGGGGGCGAGACCGGCTCATTCCCGAAGATAAGCCTAACACACACTACCCGTTAGCATGATGGCAGGGAGGGAGGCAGGCTGGCTGGAAAGAAAGCAGGCTGGCAGGCTGGGAAGGAGGCAGGCAGGCAGGCAGGCTGGGAAGGAGGCAGGCTTGCAGGCTGGGAAGGAGGCAGGCAGGCAGGCAGGCTTGCAGGCTGGGAAAGAGGCAGGCTTGCAGGCTGGGAAGGAGGCAGGCAGGCAGGCAGGCTTGCAGGCTGGGAAGGAGGCAGGCAGGCTTGCAGGCTGGGAAGGAGGCAGGCAGACAGGCAGGCTTGCAGGCTGGGAAGGAGGCAGGCAGACAGGCAGGCTTGCAGGCTGGGAAGGAGGCAGGCAGGCAGGCAGGCTTGCAGGCTGGGAAGGAGGCAGGCAGGCAGGCAGGCTGGGAAGGAGGCAGGCAGGCAGGCAGGCAGGCTTGCAGGCTGGGAAGGAGGCAGGCAGGCAGGCAGGCTGGGAAGGAGGCAGGCAGGCAGGCAGGCAGGCTTGCAGGCTGGGAATGAGGCAGGCAGGCAGGCAGGCTGGGAAGGAGGCAGGCAGGCTTGCAGGCTGGGAAGGAGGCAGGCAGGCAGGCTTGCAGGCTGGGAAGGAGGCAGGCAGGCAGGCAGGCTTGCAGGCTGGGAAGGAGGCAGGCAGGCAGGCAGGCAGGCTTGCAG